CCCACAAATTAGTATAAAATATTACATTAAAAAATCTAAAAGTAAGAAAACAAATACTTACCTCTATGACGGTTAATATTTTCAAGAAACTTCTATAAAAGTCGGACGATTGATATTAATAGATCTGCAGGTACTTATCTAAAGTCCATTACTTTAATTACTACAATGTCACCGTGAAAACATAGAAAAATATAACTAAACACAATCTATAGAAGCGTAAAATGTAGAGCGTGAAACTAACAAACACGCAATGTATGCCCTATCATATGGACATACACTTCTTTATTCTTTAACACATTGTTTTCTTAAGCTTATCATTATTTACCTTATTCACTACCAACACCAAACACAAAAACACTTTCCGATTAAAAAATATTCTGCACCATAAATTTGTGGACGACCAAGCATGTTAGTAGAAGCTTTAAAACATTATAAACTTGTTCATTACCTTATAATAGAGCAAAACACAACATTTATGAATCAGGTTAAATGTTGAAATACGTGTGGAACTAATGAATTAGTTGTTTCGTTTTTATGAGTCAATTGGTAGGCCCACTGTGTGTCACTCAACGACTGAGGAAAAACTGCAATGACGTGGACGCCTGCGCAGGCCGTTTCTGTAGTTTCATCACGAAATACATTAGGGGCCCGGCTACTTAAAGCAATACCCAAAACGACAGATATCAGAATGTTTTATTGTCTTTATTATTGAACAAATTTTCATGTGTTTGTCTAAATTCGATACTTTTTATCACATTTTAATTTAAATAAAAATAAACAGCTGCTTCATACTGTTGGTGATTGTAGGTATTACAATTTTGTATGAAACAGCAGATTATGTTTTCGTGAATTCAGTATTGCTTCCATAATTAAAGTTGTTCAGTATATTTACCTTATTTACCCCACGAAGTATATAAAAGGACATGTGTCCTTTTATATACTTCGTGGGGATTATATATATCATGTAATATATGGAAGGATATAAACAGTCTTTATAAATACAATAAAAGGTATATCATTTATTTATCCCTTTAACTGAAGTATTGAGAGGAGGTTGCATTGCAACAGCTATTAACGGGGATTTAGGAAAATAACCAAATATGGACTTTTGTCGCTCATTTTAATTTCTGCTTTTTAACTTTCCTGATGGTAATGCGATAAGAAAAAAGTAGATAACCGCAACTGGTTGTATGGATTGGTTATTAAAAAATCCTCCCTAAAACGGAATACTTAAATTGAATTTTCTGTATAAAAAAATTTAATACGCTATGAAAGAAGCAAAAGTAATCCGTCAATTGGTAGTGAATTTTGTGGACTAATTAACAATATGCCAATTTTCCACTGTTAGGAATAATTTAAGAAGGAATTTAATATTTATTAGCATTGATATTCCATATTCAGTTACTTTTCTATAATAAAGATCGTAGTTATAAATATATTAAACTTTGTCAACGATGAATTTGAATTTTACTTATATTATACTTGAGATTATCCTTATTCTATAACTCTGTCAGATATTTGAAATATATTAAAACGCATATATTATCCATTATATTAAAATTTTGCAAAATATGTTCAATTACGAATAATGCGATGTGAGGCATAGGCATATCGTAACTAAGTACAATACGGAACTGTCTATTCAACTTCGAACCTTTGTATTGTCACTTTTGTATAGTTTTCTTTTAACAAATACCTAATTTCGTCAATCATTAATAACGTAAAAGTGTTTGTCACGTGAATTAAAAGGCCTTTGGAAAAGTAAAACAAATTGATGTGTCTATTCCAAAAATAATATTTATAACTGAGATATTAACATTATCTCCTAGACTATTTTGTGGTATAAAGTGTTAGAAGAGGAGAGGAATATTGCACTCCGTTCGCCTACGTCACGTTGAAAATGAGAGCGAAGTCAGCTAACCTATTGTCTACACGAACTTGTAGACTGTTCCTTTTAAAGAAAAACTAAGGCCATTCGTAAACTATATTACACAATAAATCGTGCAGGTTTTAAGAAACCTAGGCCATGATAAGATTTATTAATAATACTTTTTATTATTAAATAGTGACACTATCGAAATAATAACTAATTAAAAAATTCAAAGTCATTCTTTTTTATCTTTATCCAAATAAAAAAAAAATTCAGACTAGGACTTATCGCTTTAATTCAAGAGATTTATTATTTGTATTGAATGACTTATAGGCAGATATTTCTAAAGTAGAATTGAGGAATCTTCACTATCCTATTAATATTATAAAGGCGAAAGTTTGTAAGTATGGATGTATGGATGTTTGTTACTCTTTCACGAAAAAACTACTGGACGGATTTGGATAAAACTTTACAGCAATATAGGTTATACATCAGAATAACACATAGGGTACTTTTTACTGGGAAAACTTCTCACTCCCACGGGATACCGACTTCCACGCGGACGAAGTCGCGGGCGTCCACTAGTACTATATAAAAAAGAATGTACATTCAAGATTAAACATTTTGACGGAAGACACGAATCTTACTCAACGTCACGGTTAATACTCACAAGGACTTTATCAAAAAATTGTTTTGTTACACTGTTTTTACTTTCAAATCTACAGTTGAGTAACTGCTTATTTGAATAAACCGTATAGTACAGTGATTTGATTCTTAAAATATAAATTTTATTTTGTGTACATCACCAGCCCTTTTACGTCCCCACTGCAGGGGCTCAGGCCTTCCTTATGGATGGATAAGATGGTTAAGGAGGATGGGCCATGACCCTCCACGCTGGCCCAATGCGGATTGGAGGGTATTAACGACTGCAAATGCAGCCGGGACCAACGGCTTAACGTGCCTTCCGAAGCACGGAGTAGCTCGAGATAATAATTTTTTGGTCACCCATCCCGTGACCGACCCTTGCGAAAGTTGCTTAACGACTACGATCGCGGGCCGCGGCGCTTATCCACTACGCCACCGAGCTACTCATACTTATTCTGTGTATAACAATAAAAATGCGCTGTCCAACTTTAGCAATTGGCTTTGGATCAGCATTTTTTTTTTATATCTGGATAATCTTATTAATATTATTCAAAAAATTGTTGTTTTCTTACGAATTAGTCCGGATAAATTACAGTCTATTCGCTAGTGATGTAGTTTCCTGTTAATAAATAAATAAACGAACGTTTCCCAGTAGTTTACATTAGTAAGAGTTTTTATGATCGGATCAGTATTTCCGCACAGATTGGGGTAATCTGTAAAATCTAGAAATATAAAAAAAATATATAAACTCTACCTCTATGCAATATTATTACATAAAGTTGTAAGTAATCATAATTCAATCCGTGAATTTTGAATTAATGCCGTAGATTTGAAGACAAAATTTTATCTTACATTATTTGTAGGAAATTATGTGTAGGTTACGAGTAGTTTAATTTTGTATGCAAATAGTAAATTTAGTATGAAAGATATTATCGAAAATTGCTTTTACAAAATTTTTCAATAGAAGTATGGCATGTTGCTAAAGTCAAAGATATAGATCTTTGACTTTAGCAACATGCAAAGTGGCAAAGCTCAATTTCAGAAAGTAGGCATTGGACACTATGATTTTTCCATATTTATAAAGTGAGAGAATATTCTTGTAATGCTATTTATCTATTTACTTATAGAAGTATGTATATATAAAAGGCAAACCTGACTGATTTATATATCAACGTAGGTACAGCTGAAACTACTGTAATTAGATACTTGAATTTTGGCACAGGGGTAATTGAGCGCTAAGTAAGGATTATTAGAAATTCAACTCCTATACGGGTGACAGTTAGTGCGCAAATCTTGGAATTCAAATTTGACCCACTTCCCAATGTCCGATAGATTTAAAATTTTGCATAGACATGTAAGTCAGATGACAATGCCATAGTATGGTGTCGTAAGCTGATATGATGATGAAGTCGGAAGGTGGTAATAGGAACTTAGTGATGAAATGACGCATCTGCATCTTGTTTGGACTCGTTAGATCCGTTTTTATGAGGACTTTGTGATTGGATGCTTTCACGACCAAGGTCTGGTGATGATTACTAAATTTTTTGCTGTAATAAAGATAAAGTTTTAAAAGATTATATTGGTATCTTTAAACAATACAATAATGGAGTTGGAAGGTGGTAATAGGAACTTAGCAATGAAATAATGCAACTGCATCGTGGTAAGGCTCTTTAGAACCGTCTTTATGAGAACATCAGCATATCGAGACAAAACTAAAAAGAGAAATATAATAGCAAGGTTGTTTTTAAAACAAGCTTTTAATTGTGCGCACTCAAACGTAAATAAAATCGTTGTGTCTGCCTTACTTTTTATGAATCTCCTTCCGTAGGCCTACTGGAAGAAATTTCTGGTTAGAAATAAGTAGTGCCTGTTGTGTCAGTTATATTTGTATTGTTACTTTAGTGTTTTTATTGTGTACAATAAACTGTTAAATAAATAAATAAAAATAAATAAATTCTAATCATTTAGAGTACTAAAAAATTATGTGTATTTCCTCGTCTTTGAATTCATTAGCGTTACAAGATTTTCAATGCAATTTCTATAAGAGATTTTTTTTATTGAAAGTACTTTAAATGTTTAGAATTTATTTATTTACATTTTTTTTATTATATTTTTTACCTCTGAACGTAAGAACTCATTGGTGGAAAGAGATTTTGATAAAGATATCTATCAAAATCTGTTCCCAAAGTTTAACGTACAATTTCGATTTCGCAGCCGTATATTGTGTGCCAAATAATATATTTTAAGTGCGCACAATTAAAATATATTATATATATAACCACCTATTTTTATTTATAAACGAAGTTTACGTTTATCCTTAAAGCCTGGCTAAATCACGCAGATAATTTATAATCACGGTAGCATATTTATCTTATCTGAAACCGACGTCACCGCTCAATCAATGCCAAAGTCAAACTTAACTTCAATAGTACAACACGCATCGCCGTCGTATAAATATTAATAATATGATAAAATATATAAAGTGATGACTGGAGAAGAGATCCCGTTGCTTTCTGTCGCAGAATCAGATGTTAAGAAATCATTTACCAAAAAATCTAAGAAGGCCATCAATCTGAAATACAAAAGTAAAAAGAAGAATGACAATGAGAAAACGGCTCCGACGTCAGAGCGATCCTCGACTTATCAAACACCGTTGAGACCCAATTTTGGCAAACTACGCAGCGGTATTCGAAAATTGAATTGCTTCAAAGGTGAAACAGAGGATTTACCGATTATGGACATCCCAAGACACAGAAGCATCGATATCGGCGTGGGGCTGGCCCGGCGTATGTCCTTATTCATCTTCACAAGGAAAACAGTATGTGTACATCCGTATCACCCATATACACCGAGTCAGACGACAAGGAAAATTTTTGTGTACTCAGAGGATTAACCTTTGAAAAGAAATCAAAAAAACTAATGTGAATTTCGGTGTATTTATCCATAATACAAATCTAGTCGCCGTTTAGGCAGAACTTGTTACTAGTGAGTCCTTATCACAACATAGTATAAAACAAAGTCGCTTTCTCTGTCCCTATATATCCCTATGTATGCTTAAGTCTTTAAAACTACGCAACGGATTTTGATTCGGTTTTTTTTCATAGAGTGATTCAAAAGGAAGGTTTTTATGTATAATACAAGACCACGCTGGCGAAGCCGCTGGCAGAAAGCTAGTCAGCATTCAAAAAAACTATTGCTAATTGCTAAATAAAAGCTACTCGATGTCAATGATGACATACAATGGAAACTGGAAAGACTATATTTATTTACAATGAATATTTAATGAGATTGATTATAGAACAAGTTGTTAATCTAAAATATAAATTTGGGTTTGTTTATGTAACCGTATCGACGACATTATATCTACTTACCTAATATAGCTTTGACAAGAAATAAATAAAGTCGTATATTATGATAATAAGAGCAGCTCTTTTTTATGAATTTAACAATGAATTTTTACACATATGTAAAGTAAAATTTAAGGTATTTCTAATATAAACTCATTATAAGACAGATAAGTAGGAAATTTTAAAAATATGTTTTTTTTTATACCACACTTATTTTGTAGTCAAGTATCCTAAATGCCCAAAATGGAAATGTAAATATAATGCTCAACTTATTTTTATTTATTAAACTTAATTGACCAGTAAAGAAAATGGTATAAAAGGCGGACTGAATGCTAATGTCATTCTCTCCCATTCAACCTTTAGAATAAACGATAAATGCGATGGCGGCATAAAGTAAAGATTAACTATGTGTAGACATGCATAGAAACTAACTGGCGAAAAAAAAATATAAATATATATAAACATACAACAAAAAATATAAATATAATAACACAAATATAGATACATAGGTAATATTGATGATGAATTTCACATATTTTTCATAAAAGAAAAGCAGAAAAGCATGAGTTTTTTAAAAATTAATTTATTGGGAGATCTTCTGATGCGGCCAGGGAGGCTATTCCACAGCCTCCCTGGTATATTAGGTTAGGGCTTCCAATCCCGGAATACCGAGATCTCGGTATTGTTAAAAGATTGTTAAAAGTACACGCGGGATTGTTAAAGATCCCGCGTCTTTTAACAATCCCGCGTGATGCGGGATTACGGGCGCGGGGTCCGCGGTATTTGCGGGACTGAAAAAAAGCGTGCAGTTGGTGTAGAAACCTTAAAAAATAAAATGAAGGAATTTGACCTTGATTTAGACAAAGATGTTATTGCAGTAACAACTAACGAAGCCTCGGTGATAGTTATATGTTGTGCATTTTCAGTTGAAAGCTTTAGCTGACAAACTAAATAATTAAAGTAACGTATATCAATTTCAGTTGAAAATGTGTTTTTTTTTAGTTGATTATTTTTAATTTTTTTGGTGTATTTTTGAAGAAGATAGACTTTTTGTTTTTTTCGGTAATTGTTACTGTTTTTTGTAAGGAATAAACGAAAGTGGAATTTGATTGATCTCATACTAATAGTAATTAAACTTAAATAAATGTAGAATTAGTTGATTAATTCATTGTTTTATTTGCCTTATATAAATATGAATATTTTCAATATGCGGGATCCCGCAAATACCGAGATCTCGCGAGATTGAAAATTCGTAGTCCCGCAAGTACCGAGATTGAATTCAGGCTGCGGGATTAGAAGCCCTATATTAGGTCCATTTATTTTGTTTTATTCGGTCCATAAGTTAATGAGTAGTTCGGAAAACTTAAAAATTCCGGAGAAACAGAAGTTACGCTTTTTACGCAGCCAGTACTTCCATCAAACAAACAAACTAATCAATTAAATAATAAGCAAGGGATCTAGCGTACAGATATAGATACCAAAAAAGCTAAAGTAACATCAACCAACGGCAAGAAATAATAAAAAATAATTGAATCACCTGACTTACTAATAGAAGCATTATCGTAAAGTAGATACGATTGTATTATTAAAAGTATGATGCGATTGTACATTTTATTAATTTAAACCAATCAGATATATTCATGATCATAAGTCATGATCATTGCAAACCATTCGTTGAAACACAGAACGACGTTTCCTATGTTCTGTGGTTGGTTATATACAAATTGTTTAAAAAAATACTTTTACCAAACTATGAGGTAAAAGTTTTAAGCCTATAAGCTTTATACTATGTTTATATACCTTAATCTCTTTTTGAAAATTGAAGGTTGTATATCGTTTTAAGTTTCATAAATAATTACGAGTAACAATACTACAGCTTTCATGCTGTATTTTTTATTAGTATAGACATTATAACCTATCTACGTTTGAAACTCCTCAACAAAATTATATATTTTATGTAACATAGATTAATACTATCTAATTAAAGTACCTACATTTAAAAAAATATTCGTTTTCATAAAATCATTATTAATGGTCGTTGCTTCCCTGTAATGTACTTAGGTATCATATACAATTTTCTATATGTTGCACGATTATCTTTTTGGTGGTGTATTTATTTTGGTGAATATTATCAGATACAGGAACACACAAATTATACTCAAATCAAATCAAAATTATTTATTCAGTCTAGGCTGTTACAAGCACTTGTGAAAGTCGAGAGCTACTGCTGCTACTGCTGCTACTACTGCTGAATATATTTTTTGTAAACCTTTATACTTCCTACATGACACAATTCGTAAATACAAAAAGGGACGAAACCTTATCCAATGTTATTTATATACGACCGTAATTGTCTATAACAGTATTATAGAGAGAAAAAAATTGTTTATTTGCTTTGGCTCCGCAACTAATGACCGATTTATGAAAATTATTAATGCCCCAAAATACTGATAGTGAACTGATACCAGCTTTTTTTTAGTTTTTATATATTAAATACTATATTAAGTATAGTAAAAGAAGTAATTTATATAATATTACTAGTTGTTTTCCTGACACTTTGCCATAGTAATTTATAATCTATGTCAACCCGTGTATAATGTAGCTTCGCGTAGTTTTTTTTTTAAATCGGTCCAGCAGTTTCGGAGTCTTTAATACAAACAACAATATTTCTCCATTTAATTGACAATTATTTACGGTACAATTAAAAATATCCATTATAAAGTTTTTGTATTTATCGTCACATGTAAACAGGTTCGCACAAAATATATTCAGCAACTGCTGAATTAAATTTAATTAGAATGTGAAACAAATTTTAAGATCAGTCCACTTTTGGAGTTTTTAATGCAAACAATCAATCAAATATTTTCTCTTTATAATTACTAACTGTTGTCCCGCTTCTTTGCACACCTAAATTATAGCCTATTTCAACCCCCTTATGATGTAGCTACCTGTAGTAGTTTTGCAGCCTATTTGATGCAAACAAACAATTAAATATTTTCTCATTATTATAAAGAAGATTTGCATGGTTTATTTTTTGCCTTTGCGTTTTTTAATTGAGAATCGAAATTATATGATAAGCAAGTTCGGCGATCAATTAGTCATACCAACAGATGGGAGGTGCATCACACACGCAATGCAGCCCTTGACACTAAAACAATATTAAAGTTATTTAACTTCACTTCAGTCAAAATAAAATTATCGATGTGATGGCTCGTTTCAACTTCAATATCGTAAGCATTTTTTTCTTAATATTACAAGTTCAGTCTGTTAAATTCAGTAGATGCGAATTAGTTAGAGAACTAATTTTACATGGATTTCCTCGACCTCAATTAGAAAACTGTAAGTAAATACAGTACTTGGTTATAATCGATAGCGCAGTGTCGGTCTGCGGAAATCAAGCAACTTTCGAAAGGGCCGGTTATAGTATGGGTGACCAAGAATTTACTATCTCGAGCTACTCCATGCTTCGGAAGGCACGTTAAGTGTTCTTTGGTCCTAGCTGCATATGTCGTTAACGCCAGAGTATATAGATTACCCTGACACCTAGCGATGCGTCTGGTGAATTATGTTTGACCCATCCTCCCAAACCTATTAGATTCGAATAGCTCCATCCTTACATTGTAAGTTAAACTCAGTTTTAAACAGTTTTAATGGCGGTTAGGTACTTTTAGAATGAAATGTTACAAATCGTGAAAAGTGTTTGTAATACTAAACGTTTGCTACAGGTCCGGCTCTGGGTTAATCGGGCACTGCTCCCTATGCGATTAGATTTGCTTCATACATGGGAAAGGCCAGTCATACTGCTATCAAATCCATAATCCTCGGGCTTTCGTTAACAAAGACTGCATGAGTGTAGTAAACCAAAGCATCGCTAAAATGTCGTATCCTATGGCTAGAGTCAATAGAGAGTTAGATCTCGCCTTTACTATAGTCATAGCTATAACCACAGAACACAGGCTATAACAACGTTCTATTGATTCTATCAATAAATATGGTAATATTGTCATATAATATTTTTGTTTAATTATTTATAATAAATAAATAATAAATAAAAATGTATTTATTTGAACAAATAGTTTAACAAAAGTATCTCCTTAGTTTACGATAACAGTCGCGGTGGATAAAAAGAAAGAAAGAAAATTATTTATTCAGTGACCATACAAGAATACAAAAATAAAAAGGATATATTACTATTAATATGACACTTGAACATAATAAAAGTTAAATATGTATATAATAAATTATCATAATACGTAATATTATAACCAATACATATATATGTGATATAATTATAATAAGTCACGTGCAGAGTTCCCATTTACGTGAAAATCAGAAAGCAGCTCACAATCACAAGTATTAGCCTGTTGTAGATTAAGTTAGAATATTTTTAAATTAAATTTAAAACTGCCAATACTATAGCAACTTGTTATGGGGGGAGGTAAGAGGTACGAAATATTTTTGAAGAAGCTGATAACTGGTGATGAAAAGTGGATCACGTATGACAAGAACGTGCGAAAAAGGTCGTGGTTAATGGTCAAGCTTCACAGACTGTGGTGAAAACCCGGGTTAACTCGCAACAAGGTGATGCTGTGTGTATGGTAGTATTATGAGCCAGGCAGGACCATCGATCCTAAACTCTACTACGAACAACTTAATTAAAGCAAGAAGTTGAGAGAAAGCGGCCAGACTAAATCAATAGTAGGGGTGTGATTTTTCATCACACGCGGGCTGCTAAAACAACTTGTCACTTTGTTTTTGATCGGAAGCCCCAAAAAATTTTTTACATTGGGATCATGTACCTACAAAATGACAAAAATTTAACGAACAAAATACTGCCTACAAACTTTAGTTAAATTTAAACAAACTAAAATATAAATATTATAAATTTCCATATAAAATGCGAAGAAACTTTTCCCTAACCTATAAGTACGCTTCAAATCTTCGTTAAGTGCAGATATAGCCGTTAATGTACTTTGAGGCTTAAAAGACGATTATACCTGTATATCATAGGCATATATGTGATAACCACAATTTCGAATGCAATCTACGATATCGGCACTCCATATTTTAAAATGTTAAAAAGAATTGGATCAAGTATTGATCCCTGTGGGATTCTTCGATCCAAACACATAACACTAGAAGCTGTTTGGGATTCCAGCTTCACTACAGACTTAAACACGCTGTGATCGCCCATTTAAATAACTCAAAAACCATTTCAAAGCACGGACATTGAATCCGTAGAAGGATAACTTGGATAAAAGCAAATTTCGATTAATAAAATCGAATCCACGAGAAAAATCAAGAAGAATTGAACAGATCTCATTCCTACATCTATTTCGGCAAGAATATCATCACAACATTCAATAAAGCTGTTGCCGTTCGAAATCCACGCTATTTGGATGGCAAAATATTAGTTGTGTTTATGTAACTTGTTAACTGCTGGAATACAAATTTTTCAACTATTTTTGACGTAAAAGGAAGAATACTAATCGGCCTAAGATCTTTTAACTGAGAACGATTATTTCAACTTTGGGAATAGAATTTACAGGAGCTTCTTTCCATGCATCCGGAATGACACCAGTCGCAATACCTCACCAGTATGGTTGTCACTAAAATCAACAATGCTACTCTTAATGTTTTTCAAAAGTTCTTTTCGTGAACCGGCTTTTATTATGTGCTTTATCTCTTAATTGCATGATTTCTTTTATGGTGGGTGTTATCCAAGGAAGCTATCCAAGAATTAACTGGCGCATGAGTATTAAAACTAAACAATAAGAATGAAGTAAAAGAGGCTAGCGAATCGTTTACATTGTCAGTGACAAACCGGTCCCACTTAATGACGTCAACAAATTCATTGAAATCATTTAGATTATTATCCATTTCGGCGGACATTGACGTGTCTGCTAAACTCTGGAATATAGTTGACAGACACGTTAGATATCTTACATGTACTACAAACTAAATTGAACAAGGTTAAAATATTTAAAAACACATTAACTTTCTTTGTGTTGGGATTATTAACAAAAAGCAGGTTTATATAAGGACAACATTATCAAACATGGACACCATCGACAAAATCATCCACGTTTAACCAAAGTGATCTATATGCCGTACCGATAGCAAACCCAAGCCTGTTGAGTGCGACACCCAGGCACATCTGCTCGACCACAGTAGGATGTTGAAATTTTATTTGTCACACGTTAATACCATCTCGAATATAATTCCCAAAGCCCGGGAGCATGGTTGCTTCTCGGTCGAAGAATATGTCTAAGCCTATAGCCGTGCGGCAATGGTACGAACCTGTCTTCTCCTGCATTTAGCCTGTAGGCCTATTCTGCTAATGTTTATGAAATTTACCATTGTACTATTGTTGCGTGCAACATAAATACTTTTTTAGTCTATGATTTTATATTTGATTTTTATAATCTTCAATAGCAATTGTTTATATATTCAATGTCTCAAAACTCATTTCTATACATACGTTTCTATAAATCGTACTTCATTACAAATTCAATAAATAAATATTTATATTACAAATACAAAGGCGTCTATGTAATAACCCAACCAACCGTCAGACTACTAGATAAAACAACAATAACTATCAACATAAAGTTACACATCAATGGTGACAGATATATTATAATATTGGACTTCAGGCAGATAGTACAACGACAAAATTCAAGTTGTTGCCCAGATAACATGGCAAATTGCAGCAAGTTTAAATCAAACTTTCAAGTTTCAGGTCGACAAACTTGCACTACCTTTGATACGGTAGTAATGATACTTGGGGAAAGTTTGATTTTATTTCTTAACCCAGTCATCATTCCTATTTTCTAATTTAACAGTCTATCGCAATAATAATTTTGGAATTATTCAAGTCGAGTACCCGAATACCTGCTAGGTATTCGAGTCAGTACCTGGAAAATTATCATTACTACCGTATCAAAAGTAGTGCAAGTTTATCACCCTGAAACTAGCAAGTTTGATTTAAACTTGCTGCAAGTTGCCATGTTTAAATTGCTATCTGGGTGAGATTGTATTGAGGTGCAATTATTACGTAAACATTAGCAGAATTGACCTACTGGTCTCATTAATATCCATAATCTTGACTGATTATCTCGAATGCGACAAGAAGTCTTTTTCATAATTATTATTATTGTAGGGGTATGTCTCATAGAAGGAGAAAGTTCTGGAAGGACGGACGTTATTGGGGGGCCAGACTCGGACGGTTCGTACGATCATGGCCTCTTCCAAATAAACGATCGGTATTGGTGTAGCCACGATCGTCCTGGAAAAGGATGCAATGTGCTTTGCAGTGGTAATGTCTTTTTTTTATTTCTATGTAAAGAAACGGCAAAGCATTTTCATAATAAGGAAGTATTTAAAAAAAGAAAGCACTAAAAAAGCACCTCCACTATATGGCGACTCTAGCAAAAGTTGATTTTTGCAGGGAACGAATGGACCAAAATGGACAGTAATTTCCGTTCCTTTTAACTAACATATTAAAAAACTGAAATTTGAAAAGTTCGACACTTAGATATCAATACAAATACGAAAAAGTACAAACAGAATATGAGTTCTTTATTGAGTTTTGAAAACCAATTTACTTTTAAACATGAAAGAAAACCGGAAGGGTTGTCATGGAGAAATCAAGAACGTACCGTAGCCACATCTAGTTTGATTTCGGGAACTTATGTTTTTTTAAATACTTCCTCATTCTCATTAATGGGTTCACATAAATAGTCCGTTTATCAGTTGTCAACTAAGTTTGAATTGTAAATATTTTATATTTGTACGGAGCAAACGTTTTCAGGTAATTAATTGATGAACTCTAATTATTAATATTAATTAAATAGTAGATAATCGTGTACATTTTTTTTAGATCTCCGGTCCGAAAACATATCTCTTGCATCAAAATGTGCAAAAGAAATCTACAGACAAAGCGGCTTCGATGCTTGGGTAGCTTGGAGGCACGAATGCAGAGAAAAATTGCCAAACATACATCACTGTGGCATTTAATCATAACAATGTTCCCATACGGCTGAGCACATAGACCAATGTTTACTATTTTTGCGGATAAAATAGGTCTTTATAAACTAAGGGTAAACGGTCGTTTCCAGGACTAAGTAGTACTCTTCAGAGATCATAATCCCTTTGAATCTACTGCAAATACACCGTGGGCCTTTACTTGACCTTCAATTACTGTTTATTTTTGGCTAGGGTTACGCCTAATGCGCCATCTTTGCGTATATCATGACGATATTTAGTTTCATTTAACTACTTTAAAATATCTTTTATTGGTCTTTCAATGGATAAACGACTAAGTTGATAAAATTGCAGTCAAATCCGTAATCATGAAATGATTAAAATTCTTTTGTCATTCGTTCGTCGTTATTAAAGTACATATCCAAGTAGAAAAACAACCGAAAAATCGCTAAGATGTCGTATCCAGCTAGATTTAGGTGGTCACACCTCAGGGAATAAATAGCAAACAAAAGTTTCCAAATGATTTCCTTTTTTCAGTGCAAGTTATTGAAATAAAATGTATTTCGATATTTAAGTTATTTTTACTATGTTTAGGTTGACTTAAATAAATAATTTGAAATTTAAACTGAAATTGTACGAATTTGGTATAGCTGTCCAATATTAAATATTGCGTTTTCTCTCAAATTTGCCTGCGTATAATCTATGTCACCCGCATATAATCGTATAATCTATATATGTAGATTAAGGAGAAAGTAAAGGTTCATCAGAAAATATATCACATTACTTTTATAAACACATTTTATTTGATACATTTGCATGGCATAAAATAACAATAACCGGACAAGCATAAAACCATTATCTTACAAGTGTAATACTGTCACAGTAAACTTTTGAAGTTTTTCCTTAACACATATTGTATATACGTACATATTTAATAAAGCGCTATTTCAATAATTGTCGCATTTTATGGATGTCTGTGAGTTGAAATTTTAAACAGCTACGTTGGTAAGCTAAACCGAAATGGCGAATGTGGATAGCACGTTTTTTGGTCTCAATCGAGGTGCCACGCAGCTGGTAATCAGAGCAACGCGTTATACAGGAGACATTCACAATGGGACTTGTACATAAGATGAAAGTCACTTAGCGAATTATTGAGAGGGTTACGCTCGGAATTTCTGTGAAGGATCAAATCCGAAATGAATTTTTTTTGGTCATACAAAATAAATCGGTATCGTCCACCGGATTAACAAGTTGAAGTGGCAATAGGCTAGCTCACATTAGCCGTAAGACCGATAATCGGTGGGGAAAACAAAAATCGGCAAAAGCAACGTGGGACACCCTACAGATTTATAGACTATAAATCTGTAATCGCAATAGCAATACGTTTGTGCGCGAGTGAAAGGATATGTTTACGATATTTATCAGTAGGTAGAAAGAACGACGTACCAAATTAACCGTATTTGGCGACCGGACTATAGATGGGAAAACCATCATAGTAGGCTGGCAAAAACTAGATGAGTAGCCGATGATCGAGTTCGATTGCGTGCGTGTGATCCAGTAGTGGACGACATAGGCTGATGATACAGGAGATCAAACCTGCGCGGATAATCGCCATTTTGGTTTAGTTTTCACGGCTAGAGTATCTACAATATTTCTAATTTTAGGAATCAACAATATTGCAGACATCTTCCCTTGTAGCAATTCATTTTGAATGATGGGCTAGTCTAAATGGCTGTTATTAAAACGTAGATAATCTATATTTATTTTATATATACTGTAGGAATGTGCGCAGAGATTTATCAGCAAGATTTTCTGAAGATGTTCACGAGGGTAATTTTTAATTTATCTTAGGTAATATATAACATTTTAGATACGTATATTTTTACTTAACTATGTTAAATACACAACACAAATAAGTTATTAAATATAATACCGACCGACTTAAAGCCAAAATATATTTAAAGAATAGTACCTACTTTACACGAAATATATCACACGTGTATTGCCTTAATTTCCAAATACGAGATACTCATGTCCTCATTGTAAGTGAGTCTATGCGATAAATAGGTTTGAAATCAATTGAAAAACGGTTTCGTTTTAACAGCCTATAGAAATATTATAATTTGATAATAATGTCCAAAGTTGCAAAATACCAATACGCGCGATGTTGCCACGAAGTTCCACATTAATATCAACATTTCGTTGCAAGTACATAAATAACTCTACCTAATTCCGACCTCTGCTAATAAATGAAAATGGACATTTTCATTGCTAAAAGAAAAAATCATCAAATCAGACCACCAACGCCATCTCTTGACAGTAATAACAAAAAAAATGGTGACGTAACACTTTAAAATTACAATACGTAATAATAATAGAAGTAATATTACATGTAAAATGCTAAATGTTTGAGAGCAATAATTGACGTTAAAGTATATTTTGTCTCAATCTTGATTGTTTAATATTAGCTGTCACCATTAACGGTTATTTTCAGAATAAATTCTTTAAACTTTACTAAAATAATAATAAATAATATATTCAGATCTCAACATGGTCATGACTTATTTAACGTAGTGAGTTAACATATATGAAGAAAATTGATGTCACATCAAAATTTGAAGTTCACTCATCATTTTTAAGCTTTCACAATCAATAATGCTTAATAACTGCAAAATATATTTATGACATGATCTTAAAAAAACTGTAATACTTGGATATTCTAGGGGTAGCAATTAATTTTATTATAAAAATACTGATTACATACACACTATTGTTATGATTGTATCAGTTGTTAATTATATATCTAAATTATTTTATTTGAAGAAAACATTCCGAAATTTCGGACTTAATGAATAACACAGAAAAGAAGAATGAATATGGCAAACTGGTACAACAAACACCCAAGCTCATTTGTCATATTATAAGTTTTTTGAATTCAGTTATGAAAACTTGACATAGGATGGACTAATTAGGTTATGAAATATTTGGATGAATCCTTGATTGTTATTTTGCTTTAAATAACTTTCTACAGCCCATCTACTATTTTATTTTAATTGTAAACATTTTATATCTCTATGCCAAATCTACTTCCTAAACTTAACTGATAAGATTCTAAAAGTGTAAGAAACATTACTTATGTGAACATCCAGAAGGAATAACGAAGGAAGAAGACATTTCAAAACTCTTTGTCTTATTTACTGATGCTTCAATTGCATTGATTAATGTAGATCTGTAAAAGATAAATATTATTATCATAATTTATTAGATGGTAATATTTAGGGCCCATTCATAATATTATTGTATTCTATAATTTTAAACTTATAATTAAATAGGTATAGTCCTGTTTTAACATAATGATATAAATTAAATCACATATACAATTTGTGTGGCCCTGCAGCATGGTTAATGTGTAAGTAAAACTAATATGAATTAACATGATAACTAAGCCTATTCTATTTGTTTTGAAATCAAAATTCAGAAAATTCCGAATTGTTCTTATAATTTAGTTAAAATCATATCCACAAAGATTATCTATGCATCAGAGGCAAAGTCAGATCCTACCTCTTTCGCATCATAATTTATTGCAAAATGCCTATCTTTGGAATCATAGTAACATTTTAAAAATAGACGAAATTTGTTTTTGGAGAAATAAAATAGACTTTCAGGTATCATGTTAATATATATGAGTCATATCTGTAATTTTATATAATGTATACTTCTAATTTTAAATTCAATAAGATAAAGTTTTTAAAGATATCGCAACTATTAGATATATCAACGATATTTAGCATGTACAAAGCAAATGAGACTGAACCTGGTAGTTTTACTATTTTCTAAACAAATACCTACCTAATTTTTCCATCTTCAAGTACACTTATTCCACATATGGTGCTGCCACCAGGAGAACACACTTCATCTTTCAGTTGACCAGGATGTTTCTTGGAGTCAAATACTAAATGAGCACTTCCCATAACCATTTGTGCTGCAAAACGTAATGCCAAATCTCTTGGTACACCTTGTTTCACAGCACCATCTGCCAATGCCTCAATAATAACAAATATCTGAAATTAGAGTTAGCATTTGTTACAAAGCTAAAAAGATCTCATTACTTTATCTCAAGATGTACTATTGAAACAATGCTATAAAAATGTTACAACATTTTAATACTATTTTTATTTACCTAATTATTTAACTTACATAAGCTGGACCGCAAGCTGTTAAAACACCCAGATTATTCATTAAAGCCTCTGGGATTTCTTCACAATGTCCACAACATTTAAGTAATTTAGAAAGTTTTTCTTTTTGCTCTTCACTGACATTATCACCACAAGTAAACAAGCATGCCCCTGATCCTACTGCCATTGGAACATTAGGCATGATACGAGCTACTTTAGAGTTATTCAGTAATTTATGCATATTCATCACCTGAAATAAATATATATTTTTCGATTACATAAATAAATCAATATTTTGCAATTATATGTTTAAAATTATCAAATGTATTTAATAAAAAGAAATAATAAACATGTTTATTTAATCATAAATTTTTTCTTCAATTCATTTGTCATTTTTATATAAATTTTAAAATAAACAAACCATTTGTAATCTTTCAATTTTAATTCCAGCCAACATAGAAATAATAAGCACACTCCTGCTGGTAGCAGTTCGAGGTATGGTTTCAACAGTTTCTTGTAATGATTTCTCTAATAAAGCTGGCTTTACACCAAGGAAAACATAATCACATTCGCTATAAACTTCACCATTCTTAATTGTAATATTAGCACCTTTTTCTTGCCAATATTTGAGATTCTCAAGGTGAGGGCCAGAAACCCAGATTTTTGAGGCAGGATGTCCATCTGCAAGTATAATATATTCTATAGAATTAAAAGTAATTTGATCGAATTCAATAATCTCCAGAAGCGCAGTAACTATTACAAAAAGCAATAAAATCAAAATTTATTTATTCAGATTAGGCTTTTACAGAGCACTTGTGAAAGTCGAAAACTACGCCATCGGTTCACAAAACTATGGCGGGAGACCTTGTACTGAGAAGAACCTGCAAGAAGCTCAACAAGGGCTGTTTTTTTTCTCCCTGTTTTATTTCACACAGAGAAGTCTTATTGAAAAGTCACTTTCCATTAGAATATTAGAAAGTAAACACAATAAAGTTAAAATATCTAACACCATGCCTTTTTATCATTTAGATATTCCTTAACGGTATAATATCCTTTACTTTGTAGACAATTTTTAATATGACTTTTAAAATGATTTATTGGCAAATCTAATACATCACTGAGGATCTTATCAAAGTATTGTATACCTTGACCCATGAAAGAACTTAATACCTTCTGTAACCTGTAAGAAGGCATTACTAACTTGTTTTTGTTTCTAGTATTCATCATCATCATCATCAGCCCTTTTACGTCCCCACTGCAGGGGCTCAGGCCTTTCTTTGGATGGTTAAGGAGGATGGGCCATGACCCTCCACGCTGGCCCAATGCGGATTGGAGGGTATTAACGACTGCAAATGCAGCCGGGACCAACGGCTTAACGTGCCTTCCGAAGCACGGAGCAGCTCGAGATAATAATTTTTTTGGTCAGCCATCCCGTGACCGACCCTTGCGAAAGTTGCTTAACGACAACGATCGCGGGCCGCGGCGCTTATCCACTACGCCACCGAGCTACTAGTATTCTAGTTTCTAGTATTAAGTTTGTGTAATATTTAATTAAATTAAATTAGACAAATATTTTGACTTTACCTTTATTCAAAATTCCATTCATTATTGCAGTAGACATGTTTCCACCACCAATAAATCCTAAATTAAATGCCATGGTTATGGATAGGATATTAAAAAAGAAAACTAAAAAAATGATTGCTCAAAACTAAGGATTGATATTAATTTAGTTTTGAAAAAACTCAGATACTTAGCCGGCACATTTCTACCAACTTTTCCACTTCCAGTCACAAATTAACAATATATAGCTAGCCATAGATTAATATTAGGTATCAGACGACCAACTTCCTAACAAAAAATTTCTTCGTAGAACGTGATTGGGAGCCAGTGATACATGACAGCTTCATTCGTTTTAAATATTAAAATCTACTATCGGCAAAGGCATTTAGCTATACAGCCCTGTTTTGGGTAGGTACCTAGCCGTCTTCCTAGTTTCCACATTATTTTTACTTTAATTTAAATTCCTTTTTTGTTTTAATACAACAATAACAATAAAGCAGACTGATAAGTCTAGCTTATTATTATTGTTGTATTAAAACAAAAAAGGAAAAACGAAAACGTAAATGAAACACACATTTTTCCAATATTATTTATTGAATAATTTATTTTTTAACTTATTATATTTTTCACAGTTTTCTTCTGCATTCTCGGCAATTCTTAGCTACGTTTTTTTAGTGGCACAACCTTATGAAACTTTTCAAGGTAGTCACATTTTTTTTAAAGAGGGCACTGATATTTGCATACCTTTTTATTCACATATTTAAGTTTTTCTAAAATTTCAATTGCCTTTGGCCAGAAAGAATGATGCTCTTTTCCTTTATGCTTTTTTTGTTTATCGATGCTCCATTGACACTATCAAATAATTGGTCAAAGAATGAAACAACTTCAGCTGTATTTCTTAATGTTGTGCTGACAGGCCTGCCATCCACATAAGTTGCTGCAAATTAAAATATTCATACAATAATTGTATGAAACTTGATTCAAAACTATTAACTGTTAGTAAATTTCATCTAATACTCACAGAAATTTGCAGCTGCAGACATATTTTTACACAATTTTTTACCTGCAAAAAGAGATATCATATTTAAAATTATCTTCATTAGAGAATCATTATTGTAATTTAAGTGTAAACTATATTAACTACTTGTTACATAATTAAAAATACAGGTCATTGAATCAACACTTGCTCTGATAGAGAATATAGAAGCTGAATACAAATTATTTCTTTTATTTATACTAATTTAAGTTATACTAATATAATAAGCAATGCATTACCTTCATCATTTTAATTTTATCAGGTATAACTCATTGGTCATTTACTTTATGACGTAGCCCAGCTTCAGTGTGTTGACAGTCTGTCTCATAGACATAAATAATATCATGCCATTTTGCAAGTTTACTATCCAATATTAAATTTTTTGTTAAAAAATTGTTCCTGATGCATTTTATCAAGTGTGTAGAATCATAATGTTCAAATCCACCCCACATATTTTAAGAATGCCAACTGAAACAAAAATTTAAGAACTTCTTAAAACATAGATAACAATATAAAAATAAGAACCTTCACTACTTTCATTAAATCTATTAGTTTTCTTTCATATAAATATAATTCTCTGTACCAACCTGTGATTTCAATTTAAAATTTGATCACACTAAGTGTCTTCTTTTAGATTTTTGAGTGCTGATTGGAAACGAGCTTGGTCATATATTATTGCGATGGGATTAAGGTCCAATTCAACAACTTTTTCTACTACTAACTTTAAAATATTCTTGATGTACAGTAGATGTCGCTCCTTGACAGAAATACTAACATAAAGGCTGTTGCCACTTGTAAACAGCACCAACATAAATACAAGAGTATGATCTGCAAAATCCACTTTCTTTTCTTGGTGTTCTACAAATCCATTAATGTTATCTTTAATCCTTATTACTTTTATTATACGAAAGTGCTGTTTCTAATGACATCTCATCAAATATAATGGAGCATATTTTTTGGAGTTTCATTTGTCCACCTGAAAAAGTAAATTCAAATAGGTAGGTACATATTATTATTTGGTAGTAATACAAAAAATTATAAAAGTAGTATGAAAAACCTTATATGGAATATATTTACCTCTTACATGAAGCCTGGTTCTATGATCGATTTTCTAATCATAGTATTCAGTGTAGTTTTGGATGATAAAATAAAAAATTTTGCTTAAAAATCAATAACACTTTGGACTCTGCTTTGATATTGATAAAGCAATTATCTTTTCTTCGGTAGTGAATCACCTCTCATGTTTATTTTTAGAGCACATGCTCACTTGCATTTCAAAACATTTTTTGCAACTGTGTTCATTTTTTGTCGGAACTTTTCAAATGATAACTTTTTACAAAACTTAAAGGTATTTAAGTATTCTTAACTTTATTATGAAAGTTCAACTACGTCTTTGGCTTGTTATATTCTTCATAAATTCTCTGGTATAAAGGTGACAATTGGCTTTATTTGGTAATAAGCCTTTTCCTTTTTGTTTGGGTACATTTCACAGGGTCTGTAACATCAAAAGTATTCAGTGAATTTCTCTATTAGAACTACTATTTGATTGAAATAAAGATACACTAAAGAAAGAGACAGGTCTTACCAGATAATTTAGTTTGTGTCATATTTTAATCTCCAGAGCAAGCAACTAATTGAGTAAACTCAGTGGCTGCAGACACGGGAGTCTCAATTTGTTCTTTTAAAATTACACCACCTATGAAATCAATATTGATTATGTGTGTAAGATTAAAAAACAGGATATAATCTTAGATGATATTAGAAATATGTTATTTATATTATCAATTTATTCTCTGATCAAAATCACTTCTAGCGTGCCCGCTAGAATTAAGTAACTTAATGTCATTTTTCTTTATGTGTGTAAGAAAGAGAGATCTACTAGACTTTTTTAAAGCAAAAATCTATATTAAAATACACCAAAACTGCAGCATGAACTTTGTTATCTAAATAAAATAAATTAAAAACAAACCTCTGTTCAGTTCCACTTTCTAATATGTGTGGTCAACATGACTTTTTCTTGCATAGCTGTGTTCCCAAGTGAATATAATTTCTGTAATAAAAAAAATCTAATGAAGAATAGCGGTATTCCAAAACACAACATAAAGTGAAGATACATATCATTTTAATTACATTATCTAAAGGTAATAGCAGATTAAACCAGCCTTACCAGTATTGCTTGAAGAGGGTAGGCTGATTGAGAGCCCATCATCAATAAACAATGACGGATATGCATCACCCAAGAGTCATGATTTTGGAGTGATGAATCTTGGTACAACGTGTTTGCTACAAATGACACTTCTGCCTGGATTAAAATTTTCAGTACCACACACAGCACTAAGACATTGTAACCACTTGGAGAATCTTTTCTCGTTCACTAGAATCTTATAAAGAATAGCGTCCTGTTCGTACTTTAACAATGCGTGTAACACAACCATAACACAACACACCAATTTCTTAGGCATCTTCTACAAATAAAAATACTTCGAAAAATGGAGAGTTTATATTACAAATAAAGCGAAGACGGTAAGCACAAAAGAAACTTTACTCAATCACTTGTAATTCCCTGATATGTAGGTACATACTTTAGTCTTCTTCTTCTTTTATTAATGGCATATCTGCGCATTTCACACAATTTTGCCAATGTGAAATGAATAAATTAATTCCAACATGTAAAATGAATTAAAGATTGATTAAAACATTACTATCTTTACTCTTTGTTGTAATGACAGTTTCTGTCAGGTGTCATGTCTCCATCTACTGACAGGGGTGAGGGGCGTGAGGAAATGTCATACATCACTGGACCCCTACGCGATTGGTTTATTGTACGGAGTTGAGTATTAGCTAGCTACTTCCAGTCAGTGTCAGTCAGTGTACAGCATAGATAAGATTGAAAAGGTAGGCGGTGAAGCGTATTTATCGTAACAGGTAAAAAGAACAAATATTGCCCTACGGAACATAACAACTGTTATTCGTAACAAAAATAACTGTTATAGAAAATACTACATGCGAGAGCAATGCGTAAAATATCGTAACAGCACAATCCGCTGTTATCTCCTGTTATTGGTCTGCGACTGTTATTCCTGTGTTCCTGTTATCTTAGCTAGAATATTCCCCTCTCATTCTTACCTATAAAGTCAAAAAGAGAGTCACCTAGTACTTTCTTCTAAATATCAGGATATTAAAGTTGACCCCAAATCATAGGCGTCATAAGCCAACTTTGTGCCTCCTTAATTTTGCTTCGTCGTATCAACTAATGTTATTCGTCTATTTCTTTCTCATTCTCTCATATAGGTCATAAGGTAGTAAAAAGAGATGGTCACTAGTATTTTATAATACAAGAAATTTGTATTGACACTTCTTTATTCCATGATACATAAAGCAGATAGACTCCTAAAATTTGTTGTATAATTTAGGCGTAGGAATACGTTCGGATACATTACACATAAACGTTTGTTATTGAAACAACCACACGGGAAAAAAAATTGAATAGTCATCAAATTATTTAATGAATGATGAATTGTTTTAATTCATATACGATCATTTTAAACATATTTATACAAAAATAAATCCAATAATGCCTGGTTTAAAAATGAAAAATTGATTAAGCAAGTATATTTAATTTTATTGTACAAGTATCCGAACACGGCATCTGCTGCCATCGATCAATGATTACTTGGGATTTTAGACTTTATTCTGATAGCAGCTAAGGCTTTTGAAACAAATGACAAGAAAATTTACTTCTTTGACCTGATTGGTAGTTATGATTAAAGCGTAATTATCAAGCTTATGTTGGTACAAATAAAGACCATATTTGCTTGATAATGATTAGTGGTATTTTTGACATTTGAACGGTCGTTTTAGAAGATAAAATTATACCCCGGATGCCATGGCGTCATCTGTACCCTGCGAACGGGTATTCTCCGCAGCAGGGTACCTAATGAATGACAGGCAAACACGCCTCGGGGTCAGAAAATTGCAACACCTGCTTTTTCTGCACCAGAATTTGTAAATATTAGATAAGTTAAAACTTGTAAATATGTACTGTAAATATCAAATCATGAACATACAATCAATTCAAAACTTTTAAATGCGCCAGTTTGTTATGCCCTTAAATATAATTAATAGTAAATTATGGACTATACAAAGGAAATAAAAATATAATCATATAGGTAATGTGTATTGCACCCATGCACAGCAAAACACAAATCTTCACCACATGACACCTAAACAGAAAAATAGAATGCATTATCTATCTTGACAAACTGACAGTCCTTAGCCTGATATGCATGAAGGAATGTTTTGGATTGTTTTTACTAGGCTCTTAGCTATACACTAATTTTGATTGTAGTTAGAAAATAACAGGCTGTTATTTTATAACAGTTATTTGGAACTGTTAAACTTAGATAACAAGAACAGCTGTAACAGGTATTTGATTTAACCTGTTACGACTCATCATTAAAGGGGTAGTGTACAGAAGTAGGTAGTAGCAAAGAGTAGTAGTAGGTAGTTATAAAGTAGTTTCGTCCATGGGACAGGCGAAGGAACTTTGCCATACATCCAAATCTTAAGTGAATTTTTTTTGTCGGACGCGGATTTAAAATAGACCAAAAAGCAAAAGTTAATAACAAGTACTTATTCAATACTTTTCTTTCGTCACCAAGTACTTTGGTATCGATACTTTAGCAGCGAGTTACAAGAAATATTGTGAGGTAAGTATTTGTATCAGTACTTGGTCGGTCACTCACTGAGGAAAAATTAAAAGCCTCTCATGCATATGACTGTTTACTCTGTGGTAAGGTGTGTAAAGTCTGTTTCAGCACGCGTAGCATGACGAACTCGAGAACGTTTTGTCTACACTCAAATATCACTTTTTTCGGGTGCGCTTCCCGTAATATTATTTTTCTTTTTGGGTGCGCCCATACGATATCTCACTCTCGACCAGAGAAACTGACCAATGGGATAGACAAATCGTTTCATACATAGGGACATAGGGACAGAGGAAGCGACTTTGTTTAATGCTATGTAGTGATATTACAATAAAAATGGTAGATAGGTCATATCAGTACTAATACGATGTAAAAAAATTGTCTCCAGCATATATACACGTACATGGCACGATACTCTCCAATGTCACAGAGTAAATGTATAATGGTTGAATGCATGTTTAATGTCTATTTTTATCTAAACGAGTTAAAGACTTCAATCAACAGTTCAACTTAAATTTGTTGATGTCTAACATTATTATTTCTCCTTGTCGTTAGTATATATAATATTTGCCTATATGTAACTAATGAAGCTTTTAAGTTATAAAATAAACCTGACACTGATATATAATACAACGAAGGCTTTGATCGAAATCGAGATCGGAGTATCTTTTTAGCCCCGGGATTAGGTATCGATGCTCCGAATTCAAACCCCGGAGTTTCGAAGTCTCATATAGATATCCAAATAAATGTAAAAGTCAAAAGTCTAAATAATTTTAATTCAAATAGACTTCTTAAAAGTATTTTTGAATCGACCAACATTTTTTTCCCTACCGGTCGTTCGGGACGTCTTTTGGCTGATAAGAAGAACGAGCAAGAATCTCACCAGCTCTAATAGGAGTAATGACATTTACAAAAACCATGTCATTACCAGATCAATACATTATAAATAAAGAGAAAGAAAAAAGAAACTATGGTCTTATAATGATAACATAATCATTTAATAATAATGGAAGCAAGATAATTTTTGATGTATAATGAGTTAAATTTAATTAATTATTTAAAATTAAAATATATATTAAGAATATATATTTTTTTTATTAGTTTTATTTCAATTTCAGGAATAACTTTAAGAACTTTTTTCTTTATATAATAAATGTAAGGTAGACCGTAGGCACTAAAGTTGAACTGACCGTACAATTATTAAAAAAAAGGCACGGAAGCAAAGATGGCGACTCTAGCAAATCGCTAAGGTACTTTTTTGATTTCTCTATGGCACCCCTTCCTTTTTTCTTTCATGTATAAAAGTAAATTAATTTTTAAAACTTAATATGCAACTCGTATTCTATTTGTACTTTTTTGTTTTTGTAGTGATATGTAAGTTTAGAACATCGCAAATTTTAGTTTTCAATATGTTAGTTAAAAGGAATGGAAGTAACTATCTTTGGCCTATTCGTTTCCTGCAAAAATCAACTTTTGGTAGATCTATGAAAATTGTTATTAATTAATAATATTGTATAGTGACGATACAACAAAGATTACAAAAAAAAAATTGAATGTAAATTTGCAACTTCATTTTTTTTAAGGTGTGTATTAGTGTCATCACTGCAGCAGTTATTGTATATTTTACACCTTCGACAGATTGCAGAATTTAAACTACTGCACGCACGACGTTGCCAAACTTACATCAATGAAAGAAAGAAATAAAGAAATCCCGGGAAGGTCCAGATTAATATCAACATTTCGATGCAAGTACATAAATAACTCTACCTAATTCCGATCTCTGGTAATTAATTCTAACAAGACTGTTTTGTAATATTATTTTCGTGTTAACATTTCGAAAGCTCTTTGCATTTTGTATAATACATTCTAAACATACCCTAACATTCTAAAAAACTTTTTGAGCTTTCTACCCATGAACAACAAAATCCCTAACCGTTTCAATCTTGTTAAGAATGGTTTTACCAATTAAATATTTTAATGGAATCACATTCCTTTTTTCCTCGTGAATTTGATTTTCGTGAAGTTGCATTTGTTTATATCAATACTGAGACCATTCTCGGCCATTTCCGATATCAATATCGCTGTTTCTTCCATATCGAAATATATCAATAATTTATTATTATATATTTTCTGATATATTGTTACATCCCTACTTCAATGAGGAAGTATTTAAAAAAAAACATTAGTTCCCGAAATCTAACCAGATGTCGTCATGGTACGATCTTGATTCCTCCATGACAACCTTTCCGGTTTTCTTTCATGTTTAAAAGTAAATTAGTTTGCAAAACTCAATAAAGAACTTATATTCTATTCGTATTTCGTATGATATCTAAGTTTCGATCTTTTTCTAATTTCAGTTTTTTAATATGTTAGTTAATAGGAACGGAAATGACTGTCTTTGGTCCATTCGTTTTCTGCAAAAATCAACTTTTGCTAGAGTCGCCATCTAGTGGATGTGCTTTTTAGTGCTTTCTTTTTTTTAATACTTCCTCATTCCGATAATTACTGTTCTTCAGTGTTATCAGTCCTGTTTAATATATTACGTCCATGCCCCTCATAGACAATACTACTAATTTTGTGTGAAATTAAATGACAATAATGGCAACACTGGCAGTTTGTGGCTTCGTTTTACTGTGGTGAGGTGCGGATAAATAAATTTTCGATTATTTTGATTGGAAATACATTGTAAAATGCAAATAAAGTGTTAAACAGCATTTAGTGCTCAAATATGTGTCGTTATAGTGATTTGTTAAATTATAGTTTGTTTGAAGTGTAGTGTCCAACATGTTTCGATGTATACCTTTGTTCAAATGTAATCGCCAAGTGGAATGTGTAGACAAGCGGCATTGCTCGTTGCCAAACGTACCTGAAGACATATTGCGATACTCCAGAAGTTTAGAGGAACTCTTTTTGGATGCTAATCATATACGAGATTTACCGAAGGTAATGTTTTCGTTAACCTTGTAGTGATAGTATCATTATCTGTATCACGCTATAACGTGGGCGTTCACCTTATCACAGAAGGTGTAAATATTGTCAACGCGTTTCATTTACCTATTTCGAAAGCTTATCTTTTTTATATTTATTGAGGAGTAACTACCTTTAACTTCTGTACTAGAAAATTGGTAATGTTTGGGTACAAAGTTTTGGTGTATACCGATAGTAATTGTTCCTTCTGAAATGATCAATTCCATAGATGTCAAAAAGTAATAGTTTGATGATATTATTAGACACTAAAATAGTCATAAACCACATTTCATGTGGGTAAATGCAAAGAAAAGGTGTTTGATCCATTCATTTTAATTACTTACCTACTATAAATGTCAATTTAATTATACATTTTCAAGAATATTAAAAGAATGCTACAGATGCTTTAATGTAAAATTGCAAATGGAAAGAGAAGAATAATTTAGGTATACCCATTTTATCTGAATCTGATAAGACACATACCTCAGTATTTATAAACTCAAAATGTTGTGTTTATACAATCTAACCCGTCTTATACAATCTAAGATAATGCAATGTGAAAGTTTAAAAGTTTATTAAGAGGATAGATTAGATTTATTTTTCAAATTTTGTAATATACAGACACCAATTACAGCCACTTAACAGCATAGATAAACTATAGTGTGCAGTCTTGGAGACTTGAATACTTGGAGTTAGTTGTTTTTTGGTCAGTTGCATAAATATCCACTAGGTTTGATGATGCTTTTAAAGCTCTAATTAATTTGGATTTGTATTGGTAATGATTTTTTTAATGGATGTTTGTGCAACTGGCTGTTTAAGTTGTTATTTTAGCTATATCATCTATAAAAAGGCAAACCAGACTGACTTATCTATTAACACACAGCTGAAACTACTGTATTAGTAACTATAAATTTTGTACCAGGGTTCCTTTCATGAAGCAAGCGATCAAAGAAAGGGATTTTAGAAATTTAATCCCTAAATAGTGAAATAGTGGTGAAGTTTGTATAGAACTTTATCGTTTCTGGATTTTGAAATATGAAAATAAGACCATGTGGATGAAGCTGTATAAGCTTCAATTTGCAGGAACTTGTAATTAGAGTATTAAATTACTGTCTGTAATTTTCATAGAAAAATCCTCTCAAAATCTTCTTTTAAAAACACTTATTCTTTACTTACATTCAAGACAGAAAAAGAGAGAAATATAAAAAATATTTATAATCATAAAATCTGTAATATAATACCCATTTGATTTTTTTAAAGTCTAATAAAAAGATCTTCTAAAAGTTGTAAACTACTTAGAAGTCAAATTAAAACTATAAGAAATATATAGGTATAGTAAAAAGTATAAATATAGGTTTATATCGCATATATTGTTTAAAATTGCAATTATATTATGAAAATCTGAACTGAATCTGTGGTGTGGAAATTTTGTTGTTTAGTGGATGTGACTAACTAGACCTGCATAATATAGAAATACTCTTCTTAAACATTGGATTTGACTTGACATTAAACCAGAAACCCAAGAGTTAGCAACATCATGAAACTGATGTGTGAGCCTCCATATAGCTCAGTGTAATGTTTTATGAAAATGAAGTCCCTAGAGATACACATTTGAATAGTATAGCTGAACTATCTCAATTGACTTCAATTTGATTGGTATAATGTTGAATATTTGATTCAATCTGATGCATTGGTATGACTCTTGAACAAATGATACACAGATTAATTTATAGCTGCGACATACACTTCTTTAAAGAATTATTCTTACAACTAATCAGTATCTCCATTGCATTGAATTAATGACAATATATGATTTAAATGTGGAATGCATTTGATTTAAGCTAATGTCAATTAAATCGAAGCCAATTGTGCTATGGAATAGACCTACAGAGTAGACCATTAGCCATAAGCAGTGCCTGTTTACTAGCATGATTCACTTATCATCTTTTAAATTACTTAGTTACTGATCTAATCAAATATTCTGTTTATTTAAATAATTTAAATGTTTTATTGCAGAACTTCTTCAGACTTCATCGGTTAAGACGACTAGGACTTAGCGACAATGAAATTCACAAACTGCCACCTGACATACAGAACTTTGAAAACTTAGTTGAGCTAGATGTATCTCGAAATGGTATGTATTTTTTTTATTTAATTTGTAAAATATGTAGTATTTTTTTACACAAAAATCTGATTTAATGTCTTTATACCGGATCCCTTAGTAGGTAGTAATTTGGTTTTGAAACTTATTAGTGACCAGTAATTAGTAGTAGTTACAAAATTCAGAACCTTTATAACAAATACTTGTTGATATTTCAGTGTATACATAAATCAGTATGCAAAAAAAAAAAACAGGGAATTTGCTTACCACTCTCAAATAACTAATGGTTGATCTTTTAACTCGGCCCCTGTATTTGTAATCTTTATCAAGTCCAGCCTGTTATCAGTTCCAAACGACTTGGTACATTAGATGCTTTGTTTTGGCCAGTCTGTACAGAAGTTCTGTGGTAATTTAAACGGCAAAACGGTGACAGATCGAGAATAACGGAACCGAATAAGCTTAGGGTAGACGAAATGACGATAGGTCACGGGAATAATATGCAGCCCCCAATTAGCCTTTAAAGTGGAAGGGGTTATTTATGAAGTGCTGGGCGGTAAAGCGGTAACTAATAAGTGAAACTAAATTAAAAAGATTAGTAATTTATGATGCGTTTACTTTGCTATACTGAAGATTTACAATTCCAATTATCAGAGAATATTTTAAATTTTGGTTGCGTATGTAGGTTAGAGGTAGTTTAATCGGTTTCCTTTGAGACACTGATGGTTGGTTATGAGCCGTTCTCTTTTTACATGTTCGTCTTGAGGAAAGGCGTGTGATTATGTACCTCAATAATATTAATAGGTTGAGTCATCATTATTATTGTCATGACACTATTAAGTGGTGACAATACTTTAATGCTTGACCAATACTTAAATCAGATCTAAATTTAAAACAGCACTAAAATAATTATAGTCTTTCACAATCTTTGAAATTGAATTCTTGATGAGTAACATGTATAATAAAGTACAGCTAGTTGATTGACTTATTATTGCTTTAATCACCAAGTAATTAGTTAAACAATTAAAGTTGGAAGATATTTTCTAGTAATTCTTTGGAATGTGCGTGCTAATAGTGTCGAGTGGTTGCCTACATCACTAAAACCGGATGCACGCCTATACAGGATCATATTATGTCTTAAAAATTTTCCCAAAAAGGTCACCCAACCTTACAGGCTTCTTTGGTTCAGTTCTGTATGCATGGTGCGTGCGGAATTCCCAATACATCGGTCATTGCATAGTTTCGCGTACAGTGCAGGTGCGATTTTGATGTACGGAATAACCTAATGTATGGAATGAAAATTATTGGCACAATAATATTACTAATTTAGTGTTTCATTGGGTTTTGCAAAATTTTATGCTAGTTCTAGTAGTTCTTTGAATAATAAGCACGATTAATCTTGTCGCGTCTTCTAGACACAATTTTATTAACGTATTATAACGAAATTACTTGATTGATGCAAATTTTTTCAAGTTTTTTATTTTTTCTTTCAAGAATACAATAGTTAATGTTAATTGATATATTCTGTACCTAATAAGAAGTCTACCCAAATAAATCAGAGTAAATTTCCTGTTCAACTAGAATATCCATAAACCTCGTTTTTTGTCATCTTTGGAAAACGAAATTATAATGAAATACGTTGGTGTGTCGTTAACAATATTCAATTCAGTTACAAGGGAAACGTTTTGAAGCCATATATAATACAATAAGTATAAACCGCATAAGTGAAATCAGTAGTCTTAACTGAACGCATCTGTGGGATACAGCAATTTGCAGTGCGAAGCGCACATGAGGTTTCCGCCGACCTCGCTTCGAACATGTCGCATACGGCAGCAAATCACTGCTACAGAATACCTATTCTGTGATCACCATTAGTTCGTATCAACGTACGCAATGGATGTTAAACTAATTTCTTGCGACGTCTGGTTGTTTCTTTCTGTTCCTTATAAAATAACACGCTCTTTGTGTTATTAATAAAATGAAAGAAACCTCAAGTTTTAGATTTCTTTTTACTTTGTCAAAAATTAATTGAATGAATATTAAGACGTAATTAAAAAAAAAACATTATTATTGTCTGTGCTATTAGCATTATAATATCTGTGCTATACTATATGTAATTAAACAAATTTAGGCGCTAGTGTTTATTATCTTCCATTAATAATAAACACTAGCGCCTAAATTTTTATCGTATCAACTGAAGTTTTTTCTCATAAGGAAAGTTCTTTTCATTTGAAATAGTTACGTATTTAATATATTGTGACATTACGGTTTATTTCAGTCTTTATGAATGCACCGTAAGCCGGTTCCAACGACATTGCCCTGTGCATTGTTTTTTTGTAGCATACGATGTTAAGTTTAGTACATGTGAAAAAATAACTGTATAAAGTTGATACTTATGAACGGTTCTAAATACATGTGCTGCTAAATATCTGTTGAAACATAGAAACAATTAACTTGCCGGAGAATATCGTATGAACGTGGATTAAGTCTTTGTTGATCCGGTGTAATGACCGTGATTAGCACCTACTCACTAATATGCATTTATCCAGCAGGCCAATTGCTAATGCTTATGTTTACGTAATAATAGCATCTCGATATAATCTCAACTAGGTACTTGCATCGTGCCATTGTATCTACCAGAAGTAAAATCTATACTAATATTATAAAGCTGAAGAGTTTCTTTGTTTGTTTGTTTGAACGCTCTAATCTCAGGAAATACTGATTCGAATGGAAAAAATATTTTTGTGTTGAATAGACCATTTATATAGCATCACGCTGCAACTATTAGGAGCGAAGAAATAATGGAAAACGCGGACGAAGTCGCTGGCGGCCACTAGTATAATATATATGTTACCATTGATGTGTGAGGAAGACATTGCACTTATAATATTGGACTTAAAATACAATGATAGAATCCGAGTCGTTGAGATTCTATTGAAGTGCAATTATTACGTAAAATTATCAGAATTGGCCTGCCGTTTGCAATACAGTAATTTTACGGGAAGCCTGATTTTTATCTGGTGCTTTCTTACAAATACTTTGTCTTTGCATATATACATATTTGAGGCTGCAATTAGAATGATGATCAAACCCCCTATTTTTATTAAGTAGAGTATGTGGGTATGCGAATCGTCTTAAGTGTTTGTGTGCTATTCTGGGTTTTCTATACTCTGGTATAGTTATTAATTTCTTAACTTGACTGATATATTGTCACCCGCTTCTGTTTTTAATACATCTGTTGGTAGTATTATAACTAATATGAAATGAAATATTTTAACTCTTTGTTTATTCATATTTAACTCGTTATGACATTATTATTGTTATGGTGAAGGATTTATAATTTGATATGATTGTGGCTGCCATTTAATTGAGTCATCATAAAACTAATACAATGGATTAACAGACAATGAATAATTATACAGTTTTAATTGAAGTTGGCCCTTGTTAACTATTGAAAAAAGATTTCATGCTTTCGGTTTTTTTTTACTATTGAAGCTTTTAATATTTTGTTGATAAAGGTATTTTAAGAGTTGTCGGTGAAATGGAACTTATGCGAGTTCTGTCATTATAAATTCTAGACATTTTAAAATTTGTCCAAAATAATTGATGTTATTTAAAATTTCACTAATGTTCTGATGAATGTCACTATAAAAATCGGTGGATACTTCTTATTATCTCTATGATGAAATGTATGTTAAAAATCAATGTCGCGAGTTTGTAGATTTTTTCCCTATTACCCTTACAAACACTATAATTGAATGCTTATTACACCTTAAACGGGCTAAGTTCTTGAGTTAGGACAGTATTGTTCAATAAGTTAGTTAAAAATCTTATTTATATTGTCTTGAACAACCCTGACTGTTATTGATACGAGGAAACTGCGAAATTATAAATAGTTTAACATACAATCATGATTTTTGCTACCACACTTACTTCATTTTTGATTGTACTTATGTACCTATCGCAATATGGTAGCACGGTAAATACAAACACTCTTCTAAGTTGCTGGTCGCACGCAACTTAGCAGTGTTTGTATGTACAGCTACTTTTGACGTCATCATGTACACATTAAGTGCCATTATGCAAGAATGTGCTCTCACGTTTGTAGACGAACCAGGAGCAAGGTTCGAATGCCTTACTAATTAACGAATCGTGTAAGGCCGCGCCCAAACGAGGACGTGACAATACATAATAAGCTCCTTGTTTGTAGTTGGTTTTCTTGAAGATAAGTATCCGCCTGCCGGTGTCCAACACATTTTAGCCAGAATTTATGACGTTTATAGACATAGTGCGGCGTAAATGCAGCACAAACTTATTTTTAAACTTTTTTTTTGAAATTTTGACGTAAAAGATGCACTTAGCCTGATTTTTCTGTTACAGACGTATTTTTAAATATTGCAACAATATCGGTTTATCAGTATTTACGATCTAACTGTAGAACTAGACATTAACAAATCAGTTTTGAACTATTTGGAAAAAGCTGGGTAGATACATAAAAAAGCTTTACATTTAAAAAGCTGCATTCATTCGCGATTATTTAATGAAATGTAATGAAACTGAACCGTTTTTAGAGAGTATATCCTTCATTAATCTTATATTTTCATATTTCCATCTATTTCGTTTAAACATTGTTTTAAATTGCTAAAAGTACTTGTTGCGTTTTTTCCTCGTCAGAATCGGAAGTCTCCAAACTTCTATAGCAACGGGATCCTTATGGAATATTGTAATTAAGTGTAATTTTGATTTGGAAACAAATATTGAGATTAAATATCTCCTGATACAGATATGATAAATTCTTAAATCAATTTAAGAAAAGTTCTATGACTTCAATGATACATCGTCAACTATAGACTAAGCTGAAGAATAATTATTTTTTAATTTAATATCAATATAGTATTGTGAAGGAAATATTTAACACGAGATTATATTTATGTCTTCTAAGTTTTCATTTTATAAAATTAAATGTCATTCTTGTCGTTTGTTTTGATTCTGGAATCTTAAACAATAAATTATACAACTATTTGACGTCAGCTCCA